CTTGATGGAATATGGAGACTAGATTCTATCGGGAGCAGGATCAGCTTAGAGATAGGTCTCTTGGAGACACCTCGGGCTGTTAAAACGTCGACCACTCGGACTCTTTGGTCGTCGCCAGGATAGGTCGTTTGGATTCGACCTAGACGCCAGTCATTAACTGGAAGATTATCTTCTTTAATAATGACTAGATCGCCCCGTTGTAAGTCTCGCGTTGGAGTTTGCCATTTATTTCTTTTGTGTAATTCTAAAAGATACTCATGTTTCCAACGGAGACAGAACTGTTATTGCAAAGCCTTCAGCTGCCAGCTGCCAAAGCTGCCTGCGGTTGATGATGGACGTGGCGATTTCCTTGATCTCTGGCTCTGTGGCAGAAAGTAGAGGACCGCCGACTAGAAAATGACCGAGAGTCAGAGCTAGGAGATCAGTAGGATCTTCCGACATTGGAGATATCGGTCTTGAATTCAGGCATGCTTCAACTTAGGATAGGAGCGAGGAAAGCTCTTCGAAGGTGTATTTGGAGGTCGATGTAGACTTATAAAATAGATTTTTGACACTCTTTACACCTGCCTCCTATGCGGTGCACTAGGAGGGTTGAAGTGCCAGGACAGTTTCTGGTGACTGTAAGTGGCCTGAAGTTGAGTCTTAAGCGTTTCTACAAAATCGCGCGAGAGGAGTTCGGCCGCTCCGACGAAGGTTTTGCCGTTGTTGGAATGCATTTGACTTGGGCACCCTCGTCGTGCCACAAATCTCGCAAATGCCGCTAGGAATTTTTCTGTGGTCAGGTCAGATGTAGCCTCTAGGTGGATGGCTTTGGTGCTGAAGCACACAAAGACGCACACGTAGCCTTTTGTAATAAGACAGGCTCGACCTGTGTAATTTTTAACATCGAAGGGGCCTGCAAAATCGACTCCTGTGTGAGTGAACGGCCGAGAGAATGTGACTCTCTCCACAGGCAAGTCGCCCATGAGCTGCGTTTGCAATTTCTTTTTTCGGATGACGCAGATTTTGCAGGAATGGATTGTGGATTTGACCAACACCTTGAGCTTTGGAATCCAGTACTGTGATCGTATTAAACGCATCATGAGCTGGTTGCCTCCATGCAAGGATATAAGATGGGTGAAAGCGGTCAAGAGACGCGAATATGCACATGTGTATGGCAGTATTATTGGATGCCGCTCATCGTAGCCGAGTGCTTGGCCGCTCTTACACGACCACATGCTCGAATAATTCCCTTACCATCTAGAAAGGGGTTCAAATTGAGGAGTTTGCTGGAAGTGAGCTGTTTCTTCGTGCTCAAGCAAGTGTACTCTGACGAGTATGCTTGTCTCTGGGTCAGGAGAATGAGTTTTTCGTGTGCATAAGAAATCTCGTTGCTGTCAATTTCAATAGTTGACGGGAGCGACAATCGATTGTAACGCCTGAACACGCGCATAGCTCGTATGCCAACACTCGCAGAGGCTCGATCGAACTTGGAAAAGAAAATGAGGGAGCCGTGTTTGCGAGGCTTACTTTAATCGTGCGATGCTCTATTGTCGTATCTGGGAGGGGATCTGAAGGAATGGGCCAGTGGTTCTGAGGTAGGCGGAACCATTCTGGCCCGTGCCACCACAGCTCATTGTCTTCGACGAACACTTGTGGCGGGGCACCTCTGCTCGCTAAGAAGTCGGCTGAGAATGCACGTCGGATCCTACATGGGACCATCTCTCTTCGAGTCAGGTGGCCTGAGTAATTCATTGCGACGTCCATGTTTGCGACAAAGGGAGACCCGGCAGCATGCAAGTGGCTTATGCGGAGTTCTGCAAGCTGAGCACAATTCGTGGAATCGGCTCCCGCTACAACCAGTCGCCGCCAGACGGATATTGTTTGCGATAATGTGACTTGCTAAGGGATAGAGCGAACGAACGTCATCAGATAGCTGGTATAGTACCCGGAATTGCCAAAAAGGGGGCACAGTTAACTCCAAACGTGACTGTGTTGAGCTCGAAGTCACGAAGCTCGTTGTCCTCTGTCCGGAGCAGAATTCACTGATGGGGCGTGTGCTTGGGATGCACAAGGATCTGCCGATACATTTTCGTGATATCGGCATTGAAGCATTGAAGACATATCGGAAGAAGTGCCATCTTAGAATTTGAATGGTTAAGCCGGATTGCAGAACGGGCCCTGCATGTAGCACATCGTTCAGACTTTTACCATTCGATGACGGGTGGGAGGCGTTAAATACTACGCGGAGCTTGCTCGTGGTGCTGTCAGGCTTGTGAACAGCATGGTGTGGCAGATAAAAGTTATCCGAACCATTGCTTGGAGGGACTTGTCGCATGTGACCCAAGACCAGATATTCCTGGATCACCGCATCGTACTGCTCCATAAGGGGGGAGTTTTTTGCCAGACGATCTCTCATTTCGTAAGAAATTGAGCTAGTGCGATGGACCTTGAATGGCCTCACTGGATGTGATCGGAATTCTTGAATGGCAGTGTGACCAAGTATCTGCAGTTTTTATCCTTTATAGTGGTTTTTTGGAAGTTGCGCTCACAAAACAGGTCGGATTCCTTTTCCAGCTTTACAGGAATATCCTCCACCACCCAAAATTTTGTGAGCAGTTTATCCAAGCTCGCATTTGGAGTTCAGCGAGACTTGAGTTGAAAAGGATGCGACAGATTTGGCACTGGTCTTAGAAACGGGGCCTGTAAGGATCCGGCCGAAAATCCTTTCTTGACCAAGGAGAGTGCCACATATGTTGGGATAGGAGCCACCTAACAATATGGATGGGAGGATATCGGCGCCGAGAAGCACGTCTATCTGTGAGCTCCTATAGAAAGAGGGATCGGCCAAGTGTAATTTTGGAAGTTCTTTCAAAGCAGTTTGGGGGATGGTGTAGGAGGGCAAATTGCCTGCTAGCTTTGGAAGAACATAAGCCGAGGTTTCAATATGAACCCTGGGCTTTATCGGAGAGCCAATATTAAAATGACAGAGTTTTTGAGGTTGAGCCGAAATAGCTTGATTCAAACCGGAGACCTGTGCGTCGACGGGTTGATAAGGAAGTTTAACCCTTTTGAACAATCGCTCTGATATAAAGGTCGCTTCAGACCCAGAGTCGATTAATGCCCGAGCTGTATACTTTGTGCCCAAATGACACACTTGGATGACAGCCGTGCCGAGGAGAACAACATGTGAGTTTGCGGAAAAGTAGTTTTGAACGGCAGCTTGGGTCGAAGTAGAAGTGGACTGTAAGACAAGGGGGTTGCTATTGACGGCACCTCCTCAGGTAGCGGACCTTTCTCGAAAACGTGGGCATCACGTACCGGTCGTTGTGGACCAGCTGAGTTGGCACTTCTGTGGGTCTGTGACTGGGGTGCAGCGTGTTGTGACGTCCTCTTGCACGTGAACAACTGATGTGCGCTAGTGCAGTCTATCGAACTGGTGCGTCTCGGCGACCAGTTGAAGCACATCTCTTATCGTGGACGATTGACGGATAACTCTCATCGTGAGTGCGGCATTTTAGAGAAGCGTGAGAGCATAAGACGCACCGAATGGTTTCGGTGCTCACCCTGGACAAGTCGAGAGCCGTTAGACACCCCTGGATTGTGCCCTGAAGCTCTTTAAGGGCGGCTCCAGACTCTTGTGTGCTGAGGGGAGATTGAAAAGAATTTTCAATTGACTATTGACTAATAGTCGCTTATTCTCAAATCTCTCCGTCAGGCTCGACCACGCTGACTGAAAGCATTCATCTTGGAGCCAGCTGGGTTTTGAATTTAAACAATTTTTCCACTGGCGTCAGTCATGCGATTGTTCCCATAATACAGCTGTGAACGTAGGCAAGGTAGGTAGCCCACGAAAATTCACCAGCGGAGACAACCCCAATGTTGCAGGGTGCTCAGCCTGGACATAGTTCGAGTTCGCCTTGTTGAGCGAACATCGCTCGTGCGATTGTGTCACCTGATAGCTGCATGCCACAGGGCACGGCTCCAAGCTCTTGTGTTGCAGAGCAAGAACTCCTCGAACTCCGTCTAGGTTTGCACATAATAGTCGCTTATTCTCAAATCTCTCACAGTCAGTGACTCACGTCCGCTGTGCTGACTGAAAGGCCGTCATGTCGTGAGCGAGGGACTTCAGTGCAATTGCCCTAGCTTCGCTCGTTTGCGTAGTCGTTCGGGAATTTGTGGAACATTTTTTGCGACTCGGACGTACAGTCTTGCGGACGGTTGTGCTGATACTCTCGACCTTGAGTTTCCCACGAAAACTCCAGGTGAGCTTAAAGGTATGACTCCTTAACGGACGGTGCTGTGAGTCGTTTGTGGCTGTTTTGATCACCACCGATTGGCATACTAGGCTCTTCACAGGCCAAAAATTGTAATAACCAGGTGAGATGTGATCAAATACAAATAATTTGAATCAGCCGAGCGAAAACGGAATGAGAAATGGCACAGGAACGATGGAATCGAGATATCAGAATAAAATGGAATGAGCGAAATGGTGTGCACTATTGAGTCCAACGAAATCGGAAAATTCTGATAAATTAATTATTTTACTAATAATTTACTAAATTGATGCTTATTTAGTTTCTTTACTTGAGAAAAAAATCTAATTATTTCTTTATTGAAACACCAGAAAAAAAGGATTAATTTTCTTTTGACAAGGCGGCCGTGTAGTGGAAACGGATCAAGCAAAAAAAACTGATGCTTATTGCTTATTAATTGTTGAGCTCAAGAAGAAGCACGTTTATTCTAAACGCAGCTCAATGGAAAGTTTTTTAACATATAATTATTTGTATAATTTGTTATTTTAAGAAAAAACGCATATTCGATTTATTACGCAACTGTGGAAACTTCTTAACTTATAATTATTATTTATAAATTTTTATAAGAATAAGAAAAAGTAATGCATATGTTTGTATTTTATTAAGTAAACGCAGCTCAATGGCAAAGTGGAAACATACAAAAATATAAAAGTGGCTCAGAATCAGTTTATCGAAAACCGATCTTGATACTTTACAACCCTGATATTTGTTTACCTTTTGCACTTGCCAATTAATTTGTAAAAAGAAATATATAAATTGATCTTGAAGCTGCTGTGGAGGAAAAATAACAAACGATACACATATAATATGATGTGCGTGTGTGTGTATACATGCAGGTGAATTTGCACAGTGTGGTTTTAATTAACTAAATACCAATCAGAATTGTGTGTTTTTTTTTTATATTTAGGTATGTGATTATTTGGTGAAGTCTAGAATGGAGAAGCGCATACACTTGTTGTTCAACGGAGCGAAAGCCTATGTGTGCAGATATGTCTTGATGTACTTGCGTACATCAATATGGCGATCGGTTAAATTTTTGGGTATGCACTTGTACATATATATACATATGTACAGACACCAATATGGCGACCTTTTTTGGAGTCACTTTCTGTTTTATTTCTTTTAATATCTGTCACTTTTTAGATGCCCTTATGGCCACGAACAATATTTTATTTGAGGTTTTTTTTTTTGGATTTTTTAAATACAATTGCCCCTCGCTTTAACCACGGACAATGTGAAGCGAAAAAATATGTTCAGACATACAAATATGAATAAATCGGACTGGAGTTGCCGGAAATTTGGCAATGGACGAGTTGAGGTAGGTGCACTGCTACTTATCTTGTTTGAATTTGTAGCTGTTCCTGGAACCTTCTATTGCAGATCCACCAATGCTTGCTGGGGCGAACTGGATATGCTAGATGTTGAAGAAGTGTATCCGGCTCGAAGGACCAAATGTTGTAGTAGGGCGTCCGCAGGGCTTCCAGATGAACTTTACGAATTGCTGTATCGTTGGGGGAGCGTTTCTGCTCTGCACAAAGTTTCTTAGTTATTTTAGAAAAAAACACGTTTGTTCGCTTGAAGGTTATTTTTTCTTCTGCTCTGTATTTTCAGAGTACATTACATTGTATTAGTGTAAGTGCGGTGAATTTCATTTTCATGTTCTGGTTCCGGAGTTACATGGCGGTTGGATGGCGACTGCCAGATACACTTCTTGTGTGAACACCGTTACTGACAGACTCTGTCAGTTCGAAGCAAGAATTAACTCGTCTCCGAATCTTGTCGTGTCGCTCCACACTCTTGAAGTCCGCTTAGACCAAGGTCGTGCAATTTGGGGTAAGGTCGAGCAAAAGTGTGACCGCTTTTTAAAAGTCCTCAGCCAAGAAGAGTCGAACGTGCAAGATATGCAAGCCACCAAATAGAGAGCGCAACCGCCATGATCGCGGCTCCTGCGCCTAACAAACAGCCAAGAGGCTGCAGTCTCCCTCCCGTGGAGATTGAAATTTGTTATGGGGAGTATTTAAAATGGCCCAGTTTTCGAGACCTTTTGCCAGCTGTCTATATAACCAATCCACGGTTAACAGAGATCAAAAAACTATTTCACCACAACTCAAAGACAGGCGGGGAACCGAAGGCAATCGTGTCCATGTCTCGTCTCACAAATGATTGTTTCGCATCAGCGTGGAGTGACTTAACTGACAGATTTGAGATCAAGAGGCTGTTAGTTAACAGCCAACTTCACGTGTGCTTTAATCTCCAGCCAGTTTCGCAGGAATCAGGAGCTGCTATTAAAGACCTACAGAGCACCATCCATGGTTGCTTGACAGCTCTAGAGCACTCCCGCATAAGTACTGTGAATTGGGATTGCCTTCAAGTTTAACTGTGCGCCTCCTACCCAAGCTTACACATTCGCTGTGAGAACAGTCGTTGCACAACAAGGTTGACATCCCGATGTGGATCGACCTAAATTCTTATTCCATTATTCAATTTTTCCTATTGGAACGCTATCGCACTCTAGAGGCGATAGAGGGCATGAAGCCAAGCACAAATGCACAGTGAGCGTAAAGGCTTCTATCTTGCAAACTTTGCTCAAGGGAGAACCATCCAGTGCGCTTGTGTTTTCTGTAGATGACTGTTGGTGACAGGTCTAATTTCATCAAACAGCAAAAACTCTGTCTGAACTGTTTTGCGAGAGGGCATCAATTAAAAGATTGCACGAGTCTACATAATTGTTTCACGTGTAAGGGTCGCCACAACACCCTCGGTATCGGAAGCGACGTTCATCTCCGAACGGCTTTTCAATCTAATCAAGCTTCCATTCCATCCAGTCCGAACAGAAGTGACCGACTTAAGTCAAGCCATCTCAGCCAATTTAAAGAAGTTATGTCACTTCAAGCTTGGCTCCCCTACCAAACCGAGGATCCAAATCAAACCCTCTGCCTTCGTTTTGGCCAATTTGGTGGGCAATTTGCCCTCGCATCCACTTCCACACAGCATTCTGAGGGACCTACCAAATATTCAATTGGCTGATCCCTCATTCCACACGAGCTCGCAGACTGACGTGCTGCTAGGGGCGGACATTATCCCGTCAATCCTCCTCGGCGGCACACAATCCAACATATGCGGTTCACTACTGGGCATGGAGACCATCTTCGGTTAAGTCCTGATTGGCCCAGTAGTTAACTCAAATGCGTCGAGAATTTCGTCCTGTACCAAGGATTTCGGTCAGCCCCGAACCACTTTTCGACGATCTTCTCAGGTGTGGAAAGTGTGTAGGTGGAAGATCTGCCAGCCAAACTGGCAAAAGTGTCAGACTCCCTATGAGAAAATAACTTTACTCGCACCACCAAAAGGGATGAGACCGGCAGATACATAGTTACGTTGCCCTTCAAGAATCCTGATCCCGTCATCTTGAGACACACAGGATCAGTTCTGCAATCTGATCTTCCGCTATGTTTTCAACGCCGATATTTCCAAAATGTATCGGCAAATTCGCGTTGACCCAAACCACACTCCATTTCAAAGAACCCTCTACCGGAACAGTAAGGGTGAGCTCTGTGCTTACGAGCTCAACACTGTCACTTTTGGTGTCAACTGTGCTCCCTTCCTGGCGATACGGGTCCTACAGCAGCTGTCCACTGACGTACGCTGACAATATCCTTTGGCGAGCGACGTCATTTCCAATTTTATGTACGTCGACGACGTGCTTGCCGGGGCATACACTTAGATTGGGGCCGTCCGAACCATCGACGAGCTACGCACAGCTCTGGGCACTGCTGGATTTCCATTGCGCAAATGGACCTCCACCGACAAGGCTGTGCTTATAATCTTCCGAGAGAGCAACTACTCCGAGCCGATTTCTTGAAGATTGAAGATGCAGACACCGATGAGATCGCCAAGCTGTTCGATCCAGCTCCATTCGTGGTCCGTATTAAGATCTTCATGCAAGAGATCTGGCTTCATGATCTGGGTTGGGACCAATCCTTGCCAAGCCAACTCCTACAAAGATGGCAAGAATTCCTCGAGACTTATGCAACTCTCAATAAGATACGCATCCCCAGATGTGTTCAATCCTCCCCTAAGGCAAAGATGCAGCTCCATGGTTTTTGCGATGCGTCTCAGAGCCCTTACAGAGCAGCAATATATACCCGGATCGAAACTGCGCAAAGTTTCAGTCCACCTGCTGACAGCGAAAACCAGGGTCGCTCCGGTGAAGACCATCTCCCTCCCTCGTTTAGAGATGTGTGGCGCTGTCCTGATTGCGGAACATCGTAGATCACTTCTCCAAATTCGGCAAAGCACTAAGATTCGTGGCCTATATATTCCGTTTTATAAGGCGCTGTCTTAAACCTGATATTCAACTTCTAAAGGACATCAGCAGTACTGAGCTACTCAACGCATCCTGTCGAGTATGTGAGGTTTATCGCAAGAAATTGCAAACCCAACTCATGGGTGATTTGCCAATAGAACGATCCACGTTCTTCCGTCCGTTCACGCATACAGGCGTCGATTTCGCAGGTCGAGCGTGACTAATAAACCAGGGCTATGTATGCGTCTTTGTATGCTTCAGCACATAAGCCAACATTTAGAAGCCACTTCGGACCTGACGACCGAAAAATTCCTGGCCGCTTTCGCTCGATTTGTTTCTCGACGGGGGGGCCCCCAAGAAATGTATTCGTTGGAGCTTCCAAGCCCCTATCGCGTGACTTTATAGAAGCCGCGAAATCGCGTGTAATTTCCACCTACAGCCATCAAATCCTTTCCTGGCGCTTTAAGCGCCCCCCACATGGGTGGCTTATGGGAAGCAGGAGTAAAGAGCTTCAAGACTTTTTTTTACAAGGCCACTTCCTCCTTCAAAAGCAGGTTTGAAAAGTTATCCACGCTCTTATCAAAAATAGAAGCTTGCCTCAACTTGAGACCAATCTCGCCATTATCAGCTGCCGGCTGACCTACTGGCCCTTAGTCCAGGCTATTACCTCGTCGGCAGTCCTCTTGTATCGATTTCGGAGCCTGAAATTAAGGAGACTGCAGCGTCCATCCTGAGCCGCTGGAGGAGTTCTGTTTCCATTGGATAGAGGAAAACCTCAAGGAGTTGACCAAAAAAAAACATTTGGCAACATCCAGGCACGGATAACATGGTCCACGTGGTAGATGTCCTTACTACCCGCGGCGTCATCAAAAGGCCTGTGGCTAAGCTCATCCATCTACCAGTTGATTCTGATGCCACCATTCCGTAGATACAGACCACCAAACTAACATCTGTATTGTCCTCTGTGTCTACAAAAACAAATTTAAAAAAAAAAGCTTCTTGTTTCCTCCTTTAGCGACATGGTCCCAGACCAAGACAACACCAGCCAACAGCCCCATGAAGTGGGGTCGTACCGATGTCGACGCTTCCTGAGCCTGAGCCCTGAGAAGCGTCTCCGAGAAGCGTACTGATAAACAAGTACTGCCCCAACTGTCTGGCCCAAGAGCATTCACGATCATCGTGCCGCAGCAATGATCGCTGTCGGTCCTGTGGCAAGGACCATCACAGTTTGCTGCACATAAAAAGAGAGGAGAGGAAACGAAGTGCCCTTCAAGGGCCGCGTGACCCGAATGGCAAGGTCCAGAAGGCGGAAAATGACTCTCGCCCCGCTCGACACACCCCATCCGCCACGCCTGTCGTCGCTCCTCCAGCGCAGGAGCATCAGTGCTCCTAGAAAAAGGAACAAAAACCTTCGAGGCTCGAGCGCTTATCAATCCGTGCAGTCTAACGAGTCGCATCGATGCATCCTTGGCAACGGCCCTTGGGCTTTCCGACCTCCAATCGGTGCAGCAGGGACTTGTACCGTTTTCATCAGCGCAAAGGGTTCCGAAGGCTTGTACATGGAAGTTATTCTCCAGACGGAGATTCAACTTCAGATTCAGCCCAGACGGTCTGCCGGTTCGGTTGGGTCCTCTCCGGAACCTGCAGCCAATGAGACCCCCTCCTTTCCAAGGACCTCAAAATGCAATAGTATTGCAAGGGGGCGGGATGTTCATGCCGCAAAGTATGCTGCAATTCAACAAGACCGCTACCCTTTAGTTTTGTGGCTGCCTCCGCGCAGCTTAGTAATGTAGCTTAAAAAAAGGACCACCCCCCACATTTTTATATGCAATTTAATGGCATAAGCAGACAAGCACATGTATGAAGTCTCGCTCTCTTTCGAACACTGTAATTGTAACTCAGTCCCTTTAATATTAAGTTATGTTAAGAAGTCAGATCTGTACGCGTCTTCATAGAAGTCAGTTCGAGCTGCTCAGCAATTTGTGAAAACTTTATTACGACGAATAGACCAGTATTTAAATTGTATAATCCTAAGCTACAAACGGAAATTCACACGGATGCTAGCAAGTTTGGTTTTGGGTATTGTTGCAGAAAAACATACATACCGCATACGAATAAGAAGTTCTTGCTGTCATGTCTGCTCTAATAAAAAGGCGTGTGTACGTATTAGGCATAAAGTTTAAGGCATAAAGTAAACTGACTGCAATGCGTTTACAATG